AACAACCCTATTCCCCTTCTTAGAAGTCATCTTCTTATTTGTTTCTATCTCTCCTACTATTCTCTACTTTAACTTTGTTGGTCAGCTTTAGGGCTCGTTCGGTGCAGTTTATAAGTGTGGGGGTTTTTGAAAACGCCGCGGTACCGTTAGGATCGCATGTTTTTCCTGCTTATCCGAAAAAGCGGTTTCATTTTTAACTAACCGCAGACCACGGGTCGACCCTTGAGCACAAGCTGCCCCAAACACACCCTTAATCTTTCATTTTTTACCGCAATTATTTATCACAAAAGAGACCACATAATTGACATAATAAATAAATCATTTACATACACACCCCACAATTTTTATACATTTACATTTCTAATAACTACTTAAATATTTTGATGCATAAAACTTAACTTTATAAAGCCAAAATCTTCTGAATGTAAATATCAAAATTTAGCTGTTAGATACATAAATACATAAGAATTATGTGGTATGCGTGTAATTTTCCAAGAAATTATACTGCAAACCGCACACTCGTCATACGAAGAACAAAAAACACAAAAAAAAATCATAATTCAACTATTACAAATAAAATAAAAATTTTTTTTAAAAAAATTTACATAGATACCACACATTTCTTAAGTATTTACATATCCAACATCTAAACTTTAATATTTACATTTATAGCACTTCGGTGCCATAAACATATACATAAAAAAAAAATTGAATTTCACCTTTAAAAAGTTATCAATAGTAAGATTTTTGCTGTGATATTTGAGATTTGAAGGCTATATTTATAAATATGAAAATCTAGAAGTTAGAAATATAAATAATAAGAAGCACTGTTCCTTTTACAGTGATAAGTTAGCTTTTTTTTTAAAATCATTTCTTCATAGGGCCAAGTAAAATATTTATTTTTATGATTACCAATTTATAAATAATAAGTTTAGGGTGCTATGTAAATAGTAATTTTAATTGAAAGTGGTATTTTTGAAAGATTTAGGTGGTATAAATGTAAAAAATATATATATATATATATATATAGAAATTAGACATGTAAAAACAAGGGAATTAGGTGGCATGCATGTACATGCCTCTAATAATGAGAACAGGAGAACAGGAGAACAGGTGTGTCATCAATAAGGCTGATACGTGCCATGTGATTGCCATGAGGATGAAAAACCCTATAATAAAATATTGCATCACCAGTTCAAACAATTTCTTATTTTCAAAAATACCTTACAGTACACTTCACTTTCTCTTTGAAATTCAAGCATATGTTTGTGCAAATACTAAACTATTAGATATGCAAATACAAAAAAATTGTGTGGAATATATGTAAATTTTCTATTATTTACATACTAGTGCTATCAAGATTACTATCAAGATTACGTTGATGTTTCTCATGTATTATTTGTTTAGTTTAATGCTATCAATTCAAAACTATTTCATATTAACAAAAAATAGAACTCTTGAGACTTAGGGTCTATTTGGGGCAGTTGTAGCTTATTGAATAATCAACTGATAAGCTGATTACTACATTTCACTCTCTCTTTGAAATTCAAGCATATGTTAGTGCAAATACCAAACTATTAGATATGCAAATACAAAAAAAATTGTGTGAAATATATGTAAATTTTCTATTATTTACATACTAGTGCTATCAAGATTACTATCAAGATTACGTTGATGTTTCTCATGTATTATTTGTTTAGTTTAATGCTATCAATTCAAAACTATTTCAGACTAAAAAGAAATAGAACTCTTGAGTTTTATAATCTGTTTGGGGCAGCTTAAGCTGATTAAAAATAATCTGTTGATAAGCTAGGTGATGTGACTATTATAAATTTTTATTGTTTTGAAAAAGTCATATCGTTATCAATAAGCTTCCACCACACATAAATAGGTGGGGTGTGAAAACGTTGTTTTCTGCGTTTTGAAAACGCATAAGCAGCCAAAACACAATTTACCCAAACAGACCAGATGAGTTTTCAAAACGCCACCGCACCAAATAAGCTGCCCCAAATTATCATTGGAAAAATACAATGAAATATATCTTGGATGAGTTTTAGCCAAGTGGCTATGTGAAGTTTCTAATGTAGCTAATGTAATTAAGCATATGATTGTTTGATATATGCTTTTAATTTTGATTAGTGTAGAACATATGGCCAACACCTATGATTGTTTGATGTATGCTTTTAATTTTGTTTCATTCATTTTTATTTTTGATTTGTACTTTAGTGTTTGTTGTCATCTATTACTTTTTATATTTATATATACCATCTAACAATGCTATTTGATCATATATCTACCTTTCATAATACTGATTTATGGTTGTTCTATATGGAGTCTGTTATTTATAATTAAGTTTAGTATCAGTCACTATATTGATAGCAATACAACCATACATATTTGATTGTTAGGTTTCTTTACACACCCATAGATATATATATATACACATGATACATATGCATATATGTACATATACATACATATACACACATATATATATGTACACATATAGCAGCTCTGTATGAAAAAAATGACATATGTCGACCCCAGAAGAATTAGAAGCGGGTTTCAATTTCTTCTCTGTTATTTTCTACTCTACGTTATGTAGAGAGTACTATAATCTAAATTTACACAATACATCCACAAATGGTTCTTTTTAACATAATGAATTACAAGCTTATTTGAACACGTTCTCAGCGTGTAATTACATGATTGTGTATAACACAGTTTATACCAATTAATAGCTTAATTTTTATGTAATGCTTTGTCTATTTTCATGATAATTACATTGTTTTAATAAGTACTTTTTATAAAGAAGTTATTGTCATGTATTGGGTCTAGAAGTATAGTCTTGCAATGTGCAATTGTTATTTATTAAAGCATAAATAGAAAAACAATAAGGCTTGCTCTATTGATATATATAACATAAATGTTGAATTTTCCCCTGCTCGATTTCATTAATCTTTCAATGGATGATTGAGAATCACTGGTTAAAGCTAATTAATGAGGGTAGATCTAAAATTGAATGCACGAAATGTCATTTTTTTTAGCAGTAGATCTGGTGGTGTGGCTGTGTGATCTAAATGTACTGTTTTACTTTAAAGAAACATTTAAAAGATGTTGGTGAGACCTGCAATGTTTTATGGTGCAGTATGTTGGCCTGTAAAAGAGAAGCATAAAATTAAGTGTTGCTGAGATGAGAATGCTTAGACGTATGAGTGGCTTCACACTTAAGAGACAACGCGAAACAAATATAGTCATGAAATGGTTGGAGACAGTCGTCTTAGATAGTTTGGTCACATGATGTCGACCATCTGATGGCCCGATTATAACAGTAGGTGTTTTAAATTTGATTTATGTTTTGAAATGTAGATAAAAATATAATACAATCACAGCTATAGTAAATCAAGTCAATTAACGATCTGTTTGAGGCAGCTGCAGCTTATTGAATAATCTGTTGATAAGTTGATTAAAAATAATATACTGATAAACTAGGTGTGGTGGCTATTACAAATTTTTATTTTTTTTAGAAAAGTCATATTGTAGCCAAAAAACTGTCATCACACTTAGATAGGTGCGGTGTGAAAACGTTGTTTTTAGTGTTTTGAAAACGTATAAGCTGCCAAAAAAACGTATAAGCTGCCAAAATAAAATACAGTTTACTCAAACAGGTAGGTGCGTTTTCAAAACGCTACCGCACCAAATAAGCTGCCCCAAACGGAGACTAAGTGGATTATAACCCTTAAGAAAAAAAAGGTAATTTTATAAAAATTAATTCGTCAAAATAAGTAGCTCATAATTTTTTGAAACCAATTGAACCGCAAGGGCTGCCATTCAATAACATTTAATTTGATTAGTTGGGAGGCAATCTGAAATTTATTTAAAAAAAAATCAAATTCAAAGCCATTTTTTAAACTTAATCAAAAACCGAAATTAAAAAAAAAAAAAAAAACTATCACATTAATTAATTTTTTATTAAATATTTTTATTCTTTGTCAAGCTAAAAAATTATTGAAGAATTACATCCGTACCCCCCAATTCTTGTGTATTTACATATATATCATACCTAAACATCAATTTTTTACATATATGTCATATGTCATCTTACATATGAATGAAAAGATGCATCTCACCTTTAAAAAGTTAGACTAGTAGCATTTTTATTTGATATGAAAAATTTGTATGGTATAGATATAAAAAGCATAGTTTAGGGGGTTAGATAGGCAAATAAACAGGAATTGGGTGGTATGTTTGTAAATACCCCTAATATTATTCAATAGTTTTAATAGTACCATGCAAAACTCAAGTCTTAATTAATCTTCCACTAACGGTTTGATTTTTCTTCTTTCTTTATCCATCCAAATGTGACAAGTGTTTACTCCACAAATAAACATTACAAATCTACCCGGGTGTAAGGCTTGATGATTGACCAATTCATGCAGTTTCTTCATATTTGACTGATTTCTATAATAAGTTTGAACCACTCTGCAAATGTTCAAAAACAATTTCTAGACTTATTCTACATGACAATGTTAAAGACAAATCACTATTTACAGTTTCAGAAAAACTGGAGAACATCGGACATTCCCAAGTAAGAAAAATTATTTCATACGGACACCGCATGCAGAGATGCATGCGTTGTTTGATCTCCTCCGTCGATCACCGCAAAGATGTATTTCAGTAGGTCCCATTTTCAAAATTTTTTTTTAAGAAAAAAATTTTGATTGGCAACTCTGCATGCGGTGTCCGTACGGAATAATTTCTTCTCAAGTAAATCTGTAGGAGCATTTACATACATACGCCACAATTTCTATGTCACTAGGAGCATTTACATACATACGCCACAATTTCTATGTATTTACATATCTATCATGACAACAATCACATTTACATGCACACATTCAAATCTTTAACATGTAAATATCATATATATATATATATGTCTATGTAAAGTTCCTAAATATTTAAATAAAAAAATGGAAGCAAACGCTAGAAACAAACAATTTACAGAAAAGCAAATACTCCTTACAATCTGCATTATCAGAAATTGTTTTTACAGCAGGAGCACTGCTGATATACACCTTACATATATAAACATGTCTAAAATTGATTACCAATGAAATAAAAGAAAAATTACAAAATACACCAAAAATTAAGGGTGCATAATTTGATTGCAAAAACTGGATGAAAAAATATTATTAAGACAAATACAAACGAGTGAAAATATAAGGAACCAGGTCAGAAACAGACCATCCAAGCCCAGCATACTGAATGAATCTTATTCCAGTATCCACATCATAGGTCTTGTGAGGCAGCAAAGAAATTGCTCTTTGAAGAAAGCCAAGTTGCTTGTTATCAGATTTGTTTTTGCTGCTTTCAGATTCTTTTAATGCTGCAATATAGCAGGAAGACCTTATGGGAATTCCTAGTGTGTTGCAGATTACTGGAAATAACCATTTGGCAAGGGCTTTGCTGCAAAATTTTACTATTAGGATTGTAGGAATGCCTGCCAGTAATCGTCCGAAGAAGACGGGGATCGATAACTCGGAGCTGAATATTCGAGGAATGTCTTCGGAATGGAAGAGATGATAGGTTTGCTGGACACCGCTGACCTGGACGACGAAGCGAAGATGAAATGGGTCAGAAATTAGAGCATGAAATTTCTATAATCTTAGAAACTAAATTAACAATCTAATATTAAGAAATTTGCTTTATATTCTATGTGGTTTGAACCAAACTTCGCCATATTATCCAATCAAATATATTATCTTTTATGAAATTAATCTAATACTATCATGAATTCTAGTGAAAATATGCATGATTTTCAAATCCATAAAGAGGGAGATCTAAGCTATAAGTTTTGAATGGAAATCTTAATAACAATTTTGTCAGCAAATTGTTTTGACAGTTATAAGTTTTAAAAGCTCAAATTTTGGCATGAAAATCTAAACTGAGTTTTATTATCTATCTCATCAATTTGTAACACTTTCTCATTAAATATGTTTAAATTTTCAAATTTGCAAAATGAATTCCAAATTTCCATTATTTCTGATTGGTTTAACAACTAAAATCAATTAAAAATAATAACAAGACTCTTTTCACTTCACAAAGTAGCAATTTAATGGAAGAACTGCATGAAACTCCAAGGAACTAAAGAATCATAAAACTTACTAAGCCGAAAGCAACGCCATTAAAAGCCGTGTGATATTCGAAGCTTGGAGTTGGGGCCTCCGGGGTAGGATAAGCGAAGAGTAGAACTAAGGAGAGGCCGGCGCAGAATGATGTAACTGTAAAAAAACATAAAAAAATGTTATGTAATCAATACAATAACTATAAAAAACAGAAAAATATCAAGACTAACATTTGAATGAAGCTATCAAATCCTCCATACCATTCGGTCCAGAGGTGACAAAATTATCAATATGATCATCAACAACCAGCCAGAAAGCAAGAATAATGACCCCCATGGCGATGCCAGCGGCAACATCAATGAAGCTGTGCATGCCCAAATATATCCTCCCTATAAAAAGATAACAAAGCATATTATAAAACTTTTGAGCTTAATTCTTTACAAAAATGTCCATAAAAAATTGATTTATACCTATGGCAATCAGAGAGACCAGCAAGACAACTAAGAAGAAACCAATCCAAACTCTGAAACCATTCATTTCATTACCATAGGTTGTCAGCGCATAGTGCAACAAGTATCTGTAAGAATCCAAAGATGAAGAAAATCAGGACTAATGAAGAAGAAAAATGGCTAATCCATTATAATCAATAATATATATACCCAGAAAGGCAGACTGTGTTGAGAGCATGCGAGGAAGGCAATCCATACTCCATGGCATTCTCTTTCTCATCCTCTGTAGCAGTAACTCTTCTCACAGGAGGAGAGCTTGGCCTTGGAGCAGATACTGCATCCTGTTCATTGATTCAAGGGAAAGAATCAGCGCCCAATTCCAATACTATCAGAATATAATCACAAAAGAGCTGAATTTTATGGAAAATAGTCAAAATACCTTAAGAGCATTCCCAATATAATCACAGAAAGCCATGAGAAAAGTCACCTGTCTCCCCAATTTGCTATGCCCACTCTACATAAAATCCCAAAAACAACATCTCAATCAATGATTTCAAACAGAAAATAAAAAGGAAAACGAAGTAGAAAAGAAGAAGACATACCCAGAAGAGAATAGGGATGAATCCTGTATAGAATGGGACGGAAACAATACAAGAGAGAAGGGAGAAGAAATTATCCAGGTATCTATGCTGCCATCTCTGCAAAAACATCCAAACTTTACACAATCAGATCCCAGAACCCACAGATATCATCGAATAAAACAATGGCGGTAAGAATCTTCACCTGGATCTGCAGAATAAGCGGAAGTTCGGATTGAACACGAAGAACAACCCATGGCTGCACAATCGATCGAAGTCTCCTCGTTAAGCCGAAAAGCGAAGCTGCCACAACAAATCCAAGAAGGCCGGATAGACAAAGAGGCTGCCACAAGGGAATGACTCCGGTGTCCATCACGCCCAACTCTTCTGACCTTTCTAGGGTTTGTTCAAAATCCCAAAAGGGCAGTTTTTTAGGGGTAACTCGCTGGAGTAAGGAAGTCAGGTTGGAATGGTGCTGCGTTGTCCTCCAAAATCATGAAAGTTGATGACTTTATATAGGAGAATTGAAAACTGTTTACACATTGTTAATGTAAGAAATCTGTGGATTAAAAAAGAATAAAAAGGAAGAACCGTTCGTTTGGGGAAGGAGAAGTCGCGGGGTGCTGAACGCGGAGGTGGACTCGGTATGAATAATTGGGCGGGGCCCCCACTCTCCTCTGTCTAGATATTTAAAATAGGGGTTTTTACTTGGCCACAATCTAAAATCTTAAAAATAACAACTTAAAACACCAAAACTTTTAATATTTCATTTCAATCACCCTAAACCCTTCCTCTCTTCATTTCAGCCACACCATCGCACGCCGGTCTCACTTCTTCTCCCTTCGTAGGGTTTGTTATTGACCACATCTCCCTTCGTTGTTCGTCATCTCCCAACTTGTCGAGTGACCCAACTTATATGTTTTATTTTGGTTTATTTGCTAGGCTCAACTGTGATATATGTATATTTTGCAAGTTTATGTCGGGGCATGTAAGTTTTATTTCCTTTTGGTAGCCTTGGCAGGATGCAAGTTACCACCATTCTCTATGATTCAGTTTGACGAGCATTTTTCTTGAGTATATGCTTGAGTGAGTTTTTCTATTAAATAATTGAGTGATATGCATGAAATTTTGAAAATTTAGGTATTTGAAATGCAAATACATAAAGTTTGTGTGGAATGTATGTAAATGTCCACCAAAAAAAAAAAACAAAAGGATAATTGTCAACACATCATCCTTGAAGCACTCCATTTAGTTTTATGTGGCTTACTTTGTAGAAATGCCTAAAGAAGAAGCCATCAGATAAGGATGTATTAGGGTTGATACATATAAAAGAATTCTTCTTTGTTCTGTCAAAAAGTGGTTAAATTGTTCTTATTATTTTACACACCTTAATTCTTAAAAACATAATTGAGATAATGAACCATTCGCTCAGAAACCACAACCATAAAAATCTCCCTCTTATTAACATCTTCTAGCACTTTTGTAGACTGCAAATAAAGAGGATTGTCTTTGAAGATTTTTGTGTTAAGAAGCTAATATATCATAATGAAACCCATGGAAATAGGAACTGAAAGAGTAAAGATTTTAATCGACCTATACATTCACTTTCTTAAAACAGTAAAAGTCTCCAAAGAGGTGACTGGCCTGAGACACATCAAAATTAATGCCTCCTGGCACCTAATGCTAGATGACAAACTCTTTCGAGAGTCAACTACTTCCCTATACTTGTGGTGCATATGAAATATTGATGTCAAAGGAGTCATTTATGAGACATATTCTAGGCATGACTACAGAATCCACTCGGGAGGAAAATATTACTTGGTCCATCAAATATATCGACATTGATACTTCTGGTTGAGCCTCAGGAAGGATGCTTCTGGCTAACTGACTCAGAAGACCGACCAACTCAGATATCCCCTAGACGAGGGGCAGCCACATAAGAAGACTAACTAGCCATGTGTCCATCGATTAAGTGTCAGCCAACGTGGACCCGATTGGTTAAGGGTCGACCAACTAAAAAGAATCATTGGTGTAATTATCCTTTCACAATAATTTCAACCTATTATAAATAGAGGAGCAAAAATATAGTAGGGGCTATTGAAACCTAATATAAGATACCACATTTCAAGATCTCTCTCTTTTTCATGCATTTACACTCTATTCCTTGGGTGAGATTCACACGCCACTCGGAAAGAAAATATTACTTGGTCCATCAAATACATCGACATCGATACTTCTGGTTGAGCCTCGGGAAGGATGCTTCTGGCTGACTGACTCAGAAGACCGACCAACTTAGAGATCCCCTAGACGAGGGGCAGCCACATAAGAAGACAACTAGCCATGTGTCCGTTGATTAAGTGTCAGCCAACCTAGACCCGATTGGTTAAGGGTCGACCAACTAAAAAGAATCATTGGTGTAATTATCCTTTCACAATAATTTCAACCTATTATAAATAGAGGAGCAAAAAAGAGGAGCAAACATATAATAGGGGCTATTGAAACCTAACATAAGATACCACATTTCAAGATCTCTCTCTTTTTCCTGCATTTACACTCTATTCCT